TGAGGTCAAAGCTATTCATGCATTTCATAAAAACACATGCTCAGCTTTGGAGTCTAACCTTTTGGAAGCCCCTTGCAGATAACCTGTACACAGACTGAATTCCCTGGATGGCAAAAAAGGGGGCTCCAAAACGCCACATTTGCAAAAAAAGTTCTTTGAAAGCAGTTTCCAGGGGTTAAAAAGTAACCAGTCACCTCTGAACTATTTTCTCCAACAGATATTCAATCTGAGAAGCATTTGCAGACTGGGGGTGAACACATGGTTAAGCAGATTCACAATGCGATACCAGGCAAGCAAAAAGTTGGCTCTTGCTGTATCTTCTTGTTGGCAGAGAGAGCTGCAGAGAATGCACACTGGCTAGCAAGGATTTCTACTGCCATATCTGTTTCCATGGTGTAAAGCAAAATTTATCTGCCAACTCACTGACAAACTTTCTCCATTTCTAATTCAATTGAACCTGCTTTCACTCCAAACAGTGCAGCTGGAGAGTTAACATGATAGAACAGAAACCAGCCATATCAGGTTCTGGATCACCTTTTCTTGCCCTCTTTCAGCTTACCAGTAAGAATTCAAGCATGGAACAAATGCTAAACTTCTCTAAGAGATGCTACAAGCCAAACAGCCTTTGGCTTGGCCCTGGGAAACTGGCAGTTTTCATCCTGAACAGCCAAGGATATAGTAAAACTGGAATGGGAGATATGGGAGAAAATAGCTGGAGAGCTTTTGTGTGAGAATGCACTAAGATGCTTGAGGGTAGAAAAGAAAACAGATATGCTCAAGCCCTATAAAACTCGAGGGAGAATTGTGTGAGCAATGAGGAATGGACAGCATCTTGTGGATTCCAAGAGGTGTTTGATGCCAGCTTGAATAAGCTGGAGGTGTGTACAGAGCAGATGAGGGGAGAGAGGTTTTTACACTCACAGAGGTTGTTGAACTCTAGAGCTCTCTGGCACGTGTCAGCCCTTTACATGGGCTCAAAAGTTAGACAAAGGCATAGAAGAAAAAGCAATAAATTGCAAAGGCACCAAAACACAACAGATACCACTTCTGGCTCAATGTCTCTAAATGACCATCTTCCAGAGGCTGAAAGAGAATACCTTGGAGAACTATGGATATCATCTATCTTACCTTCATGCTTTTCCCTGGACATCTGCCACAAACTACCAGTGCCGACAGCACCCTTAAAAACTGGGTATAAGAAGATAAAAACTGTCACCCTGGATCCATCTGTGCTCAGAACCAGACACTCATGCTACAGGAGAGAGAATATGAAAGAAATACAGCCCTGCTTCTCTGAGCTACTGCACCCTACACTCAGGGTCTCACAGCCTCTAGTGTAAGGACACTTTGAGATGGAGACTTAGAGGTATTTTCCTTGACAGATTTGAAAAGTGATTGAACAGCTCTAATGGGAAGGAAATGCACCTATGATTTCACTTGTTATGTGAATTCAGCTGCCTGAGCATTTCTGCCTTCCTGTCTATCTCCTTTCTTAAGATTATGTGACACAATGAAGTGCAATGGTGCCAGAGAGCTCAGTGGTCCCACATTTCTCCACATCTTGAGGAAATAGTCAGGTAGAAGGGAATGAAATCTTATTAGCTCTCCCAGGGAGAGAAATCATGCTCAGCCTAAGCTCTATTAGACATCAGAGAGCTCACACAGGGCAGTGTGTACTGGAAAGGTGGCAGTATCTGTTCTGCCCTCACAGGGTAATTAGTTTTGTTGTCAAGTTAGCTGCTGAGATCTGATACCTTCACCCAGTTCAATCCACAGTGGGCTTCCCACATCTTTACTCTGAAGCCATGTTTATGAAGAAAAAACAATCTTAGCAACTGCCATGCAAATGTCACATTTTATAAGCAAGGCAATTTCTCTAAGATGGGGTTTTTTTTCTTTTCTTTGGGGAAGGCTTTCAGTTCATGGCCTGGGTCTCCATGCCCCCAGTTCCCCCTCCACACAGTACAGAAATGGACACTGCAAATTTCTGTCTGAGGCCAACCTTGGCAAAGGAGCCAATGAGAAGAGAAACAGCCTGTGCTCTAGTAAGTAAAATATTTATGTCTTGCTTTGGCTAACATACCCTCTTTCAATAAAATATTTTTCCCAGGAGGAGTTCTATGAAACGGTCCTCAAATAATTCTTTTCTGCTCCCCTTCAAAAGTCTCAAAATCAAAGGACACTGTGCTCTGAAGCTTTTTGTTGCCATTCTTGACATTGTTATCATTAGTTATTACAACCATTATATTGATTTCCATTACAAGCTCTCAGGAGGCCCTGGCTAATCCGCACCCCATTCCAGGAAAGGCTCTGACAAATCTCTCACAGCATATGCATACACAAAGCTTGTAGTCTACAAAGACCAGCTAAACAGACTGTTAACACATTCCCATGCCAGGGAACTGCAGCGTGGAAAACAGCAGCAGTTCAGGAACAGCCCCTGCAGAGCCCAGGACAAAGAGGGAACAAAGCTCTTAACTGGCACTGGTCATTTCTCGCTGTGTCCCAGGTGACCATTCTGACACAAGGAGATCCTGGAGAGACTCTCCACTCACAGGAGAGCCATCAATGGTGTTCTGCACTTTAGCTCACGGCTCACCTCACAGCCAAACTGCTCCAGCTTTACAGCTCCCACTGCAATTTGTGTCATTTAGGGCAGGTCCAAGCTCAGGTGGAGGGTCACTGGCCTGACCTATTTTTGGTCACATCATCTCCAGCACTCCACAGGTCACAAAATCACTCGTGGCAACTGCTCTTTCTCACTAGTGTTATATTACAGATGCTTTTGGCCTATCCCAGTTACTTGTATAATCTCCTTTATTCAAGGCAGGAGACTGAACTGTACCCACCCAGCTGGGAAGGATGACTCAGTTTTGATGGAGCAAGATTTTACCTCAGAAAGCTACATGTAGACAGCAAAATTTCAATTCTTAGAAAGATGTGTCTATCCACTTAGAAACAAATCTGGGCTGTCACTAACCACAGGACACATCCTGGTCCATCTGAAGTTCCTCCCCTGCATTTTGCTGGCAGAGGTTCAACATGAAGGGAAGGAGCAGGCATCTCTGCTGTTGTAGAGATCTCTCTCCCTCAGACTGCTTTTTGCTCACTGCTTACCTACATTTCAAACCAACCTCACATGCACTTACAAGTCACTCTTTGCCATGTATCTCTGGGACACATTTGTTTATATGCTTACAATACCTTTGTGTCAATGCAGAAAGCTGTGTCCTTGGAGTGAAAACTCATTTTCTTGTCTTACCTTCTTTACAAAGCTCCTCTCCTTTACCCTTGAGTTGCCATTTCAGTAGGCACAGCTGGGATTTGAACTGGCTCTTCTTAGATCCTCAAAAGTATGTATATGACAGAGCTACTAGGAATGTCTCAAGTTTGAAAAAGGTTTTAGTGGTGACTATTATATTCCAGAGAACCAAACTCAGTCATAAATCCCCAGTAACCTGCCTGCATGATGTTTTTGTGATGGAAACCTATCTACCAGCTCTCAGGTGGCGGAACACTGCAGATGTCACTTCACTTCTCTTTGAACTAATGACCCCCAAAGAAAAGTGCTCCACTTAAGGGTTCACTTACAACTCTGCAGACTCACTCATTCTCTCCTTCTCAGTTACCACCCTCCCAGAAACTGTGGTTTGGTGGGGAGAAGGAGAAGAAACAAAAAAAAAAAAAAACCCAAAAAAACCAAAAACCAAAACCAACCCTAGACCTCTAAAGGAAACCCAAGAGGAAAAGTCCCATGGATACCAATAGCAAAAACACACACAACCTGGAAGGAAGAGAGAAAAGAAAACCCTATTTGGGATTTTAAAAGAAAAGTTGAGCATGCACACACAATACCCTTTGGCAAAGGAGCCCAAGCTGGAAAATGTTGCAGCTCCAACATGCTGTGCTCAGAGAAGGTGTTAATGGTCCCGGCATCCTGTATTATTACAGACAATCAGGAGAGGCCCTGCAGAACTGTAGGGGTCTTTTAAGATATCCCCAGATGGAAAGAACAGAGAGAGTTATGTAGGATTAACACAGGAGGAGAGGAAGGAAAGAGGTGAAGGAAAGGTAATGTCCCAAGCACTACAGCTCTGAGCTATCAAGGCAGGTCTGCTGTCTCACACATTGAAAAGGGGATGCTGTGGCTGTCCCCCCTTCCACAGCTCGGCCTCTGCTCCATGCACTCACAGGATGCACTCCACGCAGGATGCTGGGGATTCCCTCCTCTCTGGGACTCTGGGCCAGAGCTGTGATTTAATGATCAGCTGCATTTAGGGTCACCAGTCCCAAACTCCTTTCAACTCACAGTAGGAGTCAGAGGTTTCAAGCACTTTGTCTGCCTGGGAGGAACCAAGATGTGTTTGCAGCTGATGTCTGTAGCTGTGGTCTCTTTTTAACAGCATCACAGATACTGATGGCTCTTGTGCTTGAGGCAAGGAATACTGGAAAGGCTGTGACACTGGCCTATGTGTGTTTGCTTAATGAGAGCTGGTGAAATCTTCACCCAAGTGTCAACTCTCCTGGTCCTACAACCACACACCAAAATCTTCACGTGGCTCTGAGCTCCCAGGCACAAAGCCCTGGGTGAAAGCCAGGAGTGTGTGTGCTCGTGCTCTGGGAATTTACATGCAGTGTGGAAGGTGTGGTGTCTTCACCCAGACCTGCCAGAAACACAATGGGATACCTGAGGGCTGCTTCTCTTGACCAGGGATGCTGCAACAAAATTTCATATCCAGAAAAAAGATTTGGTCATATCCAAGTACAAACTAAAGCTTTGCAAGGATCAATATTGAGGGGACAGCCATTACTGGACTGCACAGGACCACAGGGGGAGGTTGATTCCTCAATGTGCAAATGTTTTAATAAATACTGAAATGTTCTAAATCAGCCATAAATTAGATGGGCTTAGGTGAAGGAGACAATCGATGACTCTAGAAGAGACAATCATGACAGCATTGAACACTCATCAATCTCTTCTGCAACAATAACCTGCTGCTATCAGAGGTGAGTAATGTCCAGAAGAAAATGTTGCTGAAAATTCAAATCAACTGAATTTCTGGAGACAGTACTAGCTTTCACATTTGAAGGCATGATTCACCATCATCATCTTTACAAGAATTCTTCTCAGAAATGTTTGGAGATCATTTTTGACTGGTCTTTGGAGGGACAAGTCCAGAGTTATAATCAGCTGCATACCACTAGGCAAAGTGCTGGACTGTTGAACTCATGTACAATTTTCCTGTGGATTAGATCAAATTCCTGATGTAGGAAAAACTATTAGAGCCTCCATTCTGTTTTTACTTCTGAGAGCTTAACACACGTTCCTGACTTCAACCAAGTGATTTCCAATGTATACCTGTGAGAATGTAGGATCAAACCACAATGTTTTATGTTTCAAAATATTTTTTCACAATAAGTTGGTTTAGAGAACTCACTTTTCACCCCTAGAGAGCTGACTGTAATGAGATCAGACAGAGAAAAGATATGGAGTTTCACACTAATCTCCAGGAGACAACATGCCATATCCAAAAATCCTCTCTCCAATCAGTAGTATTTCCAGTTGTGGAGAAATACCATCTGTGGAGATAATGTGAAGGAAACAGAGAGGTCAGAATTTCAACTGTCACATGAAGATTTGGAGCATACATATCAGGGATATTGTGAGGATATGTTTGCTCCCAGCTTATGAAATTCTTCAGTCTGTGCTTTACCTCAAGTTTCACTGTCTTGTGAATATCTGTGACATTTTTTTATTATGTAAGGGTATTTTATATTTTTATTTTTTTTGCCTCTACTTGCACTTAGAAAGTACAAAATTATTTGAATCATTAGGAAAAAATTCTTCCATATGAGGGTGGTGAGACACTGACACAGGTTGCCCAGAGAAGCTGTGGATACCCCATCCCTGGAAGTAGCCAAGGCCAAGGATGGGACTTTGAGCAACCCAGTCTAGTGGAAGGTGTCCCTGCTCATGGCAGTGGGGCTGGAACAAGATGATCTCTAAGGTTCCTTCCAAACCAAATGATTCTGTGATTCTATGGTTTTTTAATAGTGGTAACCTCAAAATCTATCACGACAGCAGAACAATATTTGATATCTTACTGTGGATAAATCTGCTGTGAGTTTTCCTTTAGCAACAGAAAACAGCATGGCAGGTTGAATTCAACATGAGCTAGATGAGATCTGAACTCTATCGCTACAAGGAAATGAGAATTGAAAAAGAGACTCTACTCTCATAAAATCACATTGCACTAATCCCAGTCCAAGATTCAAGCTAACGAATCTGTGAGGGGAAATGTTTGTCCCTGCCCTCTCTGCATCACTCCAAGATTTAACTGGTGTGTTTAATCCTTCATTTTCAATGCAAACATTTCAAATTCTAGGGGCAAATTCATGGTGTTTGTCAGTTCTAATTGAATTATATGCTTTATTTTTTTAATTAAATAGCCTAAAAGGAAATAAACTGCAAGAAATACTCTAACAAATTATTTAGAAGTATTTCATATGTATCTAAGAAGAGAGCCAAATATAAATTGACAGCTTAGTGCAAGAGAACTTCAATCTGGGTTTTATTGCAGTAACAAAAGTGCGTATTTAAAAGCCTTCACACAGAGCATCTATTCAGAAACAAGCCCGAAGACAGTCAGGGAATTAAAAAGAGGATAGTGTTTTGAATTAATCTAGAACATTTTTGTGGATTAGTTTACAAGCACAGAATGCCTCAGGGGCCTAGGGAGAGCACAGAGCACTGAAGTCAGAGGGATCTGTCTTTTTCCTGTTGCTGGTGATTAGTTCATATCTCTTTGACACCATGTTTACAAGCCCCTAATTGCCTCATTAATACCTCATTATTACTTAGAAAGTGAAGAAGCTTTTAGCTTTGAAGCTGCTTTGCTGCACTTGAAGGCAAATATACGGTGAATTTTGAATGTGTTGGTACTAATTAAAGTTGAAGTCTGTTTCCTGTTGCTTGTGGGTGGGTGTTAATGGCTTCAAAGAAAAAATTAGGCCTCAATTTATATTACTCGCCCCTTAACTTACACACACAGGAATAAGTGCAAGTAAGAAGCCCACTTCTGCAACCTGGGTTTATGAAGGGACACAGACCCACACGTCTATTTTCTTTCATGCTTTTTCAGGGTCAACCACACTCTGAAAGCTTGTTCACTCTTAGACTGTGGGGAACAGACTGATGCTGGCCAGTTCAGTCCACACAGATCCAGCACGTACCTTCCCACACTGTCACGCATGGACATGGCCCCATATTCTCCTTTTGCATCAGAACCTGAAAGCGAAACCAAGTCATCACCGTAAATTTGTAAATTTGTGTAAAATTGCCTGTCTCTTGCTCTGTATGGGCATTGTTTCCAGGACACCCTGGAAAAGTTTTGTTCAAAGCAAAACTAAAATCAGGTACAAGATACTGTGATTTTTCACTTCTAGCTACATGCACATATTTTATAAATAGATGTGTATACATTAATAAAAATACACATGTGCATGTGTATGTAACAAAACATGGCATCTCACTGCATCCAGTAAGCACATTCTTCCTAAAATGTGTCTGAGGCTGAGACCTTTGGAAAGGGATCCAGTTTTCAAACAACTGTGCACAACTGTTTCAATATACCAATTGCAAATAAGCCAGCGACCACAATTATGGTTACTGGATTATCATATAAATGAATAAATGAGATGTTTAGAACCTCATTTGGGCTGTAGAGATGCACTGTCTGATAATGTTTCAAGGAATTTTCCTCCAGACAGAAGACAGACAAAGCAGACATTAACCACAACAAAATCAATTCCATGGGAATTTTTTTAAGAGAAATGTGCTTTCTTTAAATTAACTTGCTTTCAGGGGATGTAGTGAATGGAGAAGGGGGTAAAGGAGAAGGAAAAGATGCCCATTTTTGGTAGAAGCATTCAGTTTCTTAATAAGAATTTTGGATGAGAAAAACAGTGAAAAAGTGTCTTTGCTGAAAGCAAATGGAAAACCCTACACAGACTGGAAGATTTGGATACAAAAATAAAATGTTTTCCATACAAATTAAATTCCCAAAGAGGCATTTTTCACCAGCATTGTTTTTCAGTGGTAGGGGCTGGGGGTGGGCGCAGAAGTAAAGCAAGTCTGGGAGGCTGAACATTCCTTGATGAAGGAGTCAGGATTTGGCTGAGAGTCCCCCAGACTCAGGGTTTAGCTCAGGCTGCTCAGAGTCACCGGTGATTAAGAGGCCTTGTTGTCACAGGCCCAGGACAGCAGGTCTTGGCTTACCATGAGCACTCCTAAGGCAGAGCTCAGAACAACTCAGCCCTTCACGTTCCTCTCATGCCTCATATCTCCTCTAATAGGAGGTAAATTAATAAAAATTCTGACTTTATTTTATTTCTGCATTAAAAATAACATTTAAATTACACACGTAGCTTGACATCACCCCTTTACATACATGACTGTAAAGAATATACATATGAAACAAAATTTACCTAAAATCGTTGCACAGAAACCCAGTCTAAAATATGGGTAAGGAAGGAACCCGCTCCTCCTGTGTTATATTTACAGTATCTTTGATTTATATCAAACATTTTTAAAAAGTATTAAAACAAAAATAATTAAGGCAAGCCAAATCCTTTCCTTGCCAGCACGCAAAGCTTGTCCGGCTGGACATATTGAGGCTATCAATCGGTGATGTGTATTTATAACCCAGTGCTCAGACAACTTGGAACGACAAATGCAAACAGCCACAAAGAAGTTACTTTGTTCGCTTGGCACAAACAAATCCCCGAGATGAAAACCAGCCTGGCGTTTATTTTGGGCCAAGCTTCCTCATCTGACGATCCACGACGTGGCACGGAAAGGGCAGTGTTACCAAAGGACACGAAGCACATGAAGATGCATCATTAGAGCAAACACAGACCAGGGTGCCAGATTTTGTTATTCTTGCTTCTTCCTTCCCAGAATGGATGTCACTTTCCCTTCATTCTTCTGCTCAAAGCACACTGGTTTGGAGCTTGGTTGTTTGTTGTTTGTTTTTTTTTTTAAGGACCAGGCTTGTCGGCACAGCCTGGAAAGCTCTTAGAGCTATAATTTAAAACTGAATTGTGTTGATTGAAAACACGGCAAGCATCTGACTGCAGACATGTCTGAAGACTTCCACATGCGTAGTCAAACGAGGACTGGTGAGGACACAATGGGATTTGCCAGCAATGTTAAAGCAAGCTCTGCAGGCACATGATGGGCACATGATGGGCACATGATGGGCACATGATGGGCATTTCCCAGGCAGGAACCTGCAAGCTCTGCAGGCACATGATGGGCATTTCCCAGGCTGCCTTCTAGGGCACAGTCGGGGGACTGTGCCCTAGCAGGCAGCCTGGGAAATGTCCATCTAGAGATGTGGTGGACTCCCTTAACTACTGAGCCACAAAGACCTGAGGTGTCCAAGCAAGCAAGACACTGTGATGGTCAGTCATTCTTGAGAGGCTTCTCAGAACACAGAGTTCAAATCCAAGACTAGAGGATGAAACCTCAGTGTGGTCCAGGCTGGTTAGATGCTGATACCTCATTTATCCTACAACATGACTGAATCACAAGAGAAGTAATGGAGGAGAATGGAAAGAGCAAAAGAACTCCAACAGAGAGTTTAGGCAGTGAACACAGGGCTTCCTGGGAGGAGGGCACAGTACCTTTTGTGGGAAGCTGGCTGAGAGAACTGCAGCAAGGAGACAGCTACCAACAGATAATGAACAGAGGCTGCAGGAGCCCAGGGGCAGTTCGGTTTTAGGACTGATGGTGCTGTTCCAGTTCAAAGGGAATGTCTTGCCATCTTCCATGACTCCTTCAGGGGAAGATCTGGTCAGGCTTCTAGTCCTTATCTCCATGGGCAGACATGGACACTGAGCCTTGAGTCACATTGTCCCAGGCATGGATAATGGACGCTCAGCTGTTTGATCCTACAATGCCTTCATTCTTCTCATACCTGCATCTTCTTAATATATGTCATGGAGCTAAAAGCAAAGTCTTAATAAAGTTTTAAACTTCTGACAACACTCAGGCTTTAAAAGGAGGCTCATAGGTGATTTGGGAGACTTTTCTCTCATTTCACTTAAGAAAAGGATTTCTCACAGCTCTTTAAACACCGGAACAGATATGCATATATTTTCAGTATATGGATTCAAATCCTTGGTTTCTTTGGCAAAAGGCCATATAAGTTCTCATGGATTTGTTGTTGCCTGCTATAAATTTACTACCCAGAAAGAGTAATATTTCATTTGCTTTATCATCGGTGCCTCTAAAGAAGGTGAAAATAGATTTAAGTCCTTCATTGAGCATCTTGATGAGGGCAGAGAAGAAACATAAAAGAAGTCAAAAGGACACTTAAAAAATTGATATAAGGCTCCATCAGCTATAATTCAGTTGATAAACTTAGATCTCCTTTGCAATGAATTACAATGCCAAGAGATTTGTTCTGTAAATTCTGTCCAGAACTTGGCAACACCATTCCTAAAAAAAAAGAAAGCAAACTCCCAGGGGACTGGAGCAATACTTTCCATCTGAATAAGCAGAGTTTGATCTTACTCATGTTGGCTTTTAGGCGCTACCTATTTTACACAAAGGAATAGGGGCCGTAGAGACAGTTCACCAGCACAGGCAGGAGCAGGACCTCAAACTCTTCAGTCTGCAGATTTGTGGGTATATGCACAGCTTCACAAAGCTAAATCCATCAAGCCAAAGCCATTTCCTTGTCAGCTCTACTTATTGCATGACTCTACTATCTTCACAGTGACCTCATTCAGAGAGGACACCACAGGGACTTTACCTCCCTGTATCAGCCCCAAAATGAGGTAGGCTTGGGATGCAGAGAACAGGACCTGGACTTCAGCAGTGGCAGAGATCCAAGTGTGCAGAAAAGTGTGCTTGGCTTTCTGTGACAGTGTACAGTGAAATCAAAGAGCCATGCTGTTTGTGCTCTGGAGCTTCTCCAAAACTTATGTTCAGTCCCAGACTTGCCTCCATTTATCAAACTTACTTAGCTTGAAGAGTCTGACCATGTGGTTACCACCATATTAGCATCTGAGATATTAAGTTTATGCTAATGAACAAATTTATGACTTGAAAGCCTGATCCTTGTCACTGGGGATTCAAGATGTGGACAGATGAAGCAATTTGCTCAGAGTTAAAAAGAGGATGGGTTACAAAGTTGAGGAGTAAAGCAGAACCCCTGAGTCCCATGTTATTGGCCAGTGCCCAGGGGGATCCCTTCTCCTTTCCAGGGATTGAAAGATCAGTGAATTGCTCTCTAAATGCTTCCAATGGGAACTCTCCAAAACACAGCAAATGGGATTTTTCACACTTTGACTAATGAAAGCTTGGCACATGGCATGACAAATAAAATCCTCACTGCCAGCAGTACAGATATATATATAAAATGATGTTTATTTCTACTGGGCTTGTGAATAAGCAAGACATTTTTCATCCATGAAAGGCAGTTTCTATGTGCATGTGTAAGTTAGCAACAACAACAAAAAGTGTGACTGATGATCCCAATGAACATCATCCCAATGAGATTTAAATAGTCATAACTTTTTGCTTCTCAAAATAAAGTCTCTCTTTATACTTCACCCTACAAACTTCTAGGTTTATTGTGGCTATATTTCTCTGCTCTTGACAGAAACACAGATATAATTCATCCTTTAGTTTCATGCTCAGAGACTAGTCATCATCACAGGGATAGGCGTGTGTAGAAAAAGATGCAACAAGAAGATGTGCTCAGAAAGCAAAGTGCCTGCAAGATCTACTTCCACGTGAAAATAAAGCTAGTTTCTAATAAGGGGGGAGAGCTCATTCTTCCTGCCAAATTATGGCATTTCTTTTGTTTGACACTTTTCCCCCTGCTTTCTTGGTGCTTTCCACATGACCAGTGCTAACAAGAGGAGAGACTAGTCCGTAACTCCTCATGCAGGCAGACTAAAAATGATTAGTCGCAAACTGGGACTGATCAACATGCACTAGAGACACATTTCCAAAACAGACAGTTTTTTCTCTTTGTCAGTTCAAACTGTTTGGAAAAGAGTGCACTGAAAAAGGCTCTGAAAACAGTAACTTCTGTGATAAACTGAAAATGGGATCCTACCAAATAAATAAAAGATGAGCTGGCCATAGCCTTCCAGATCACAGTAAACTTGATATCCCTAGGATAGCTCAGCAGAGGAGCCCTTGTAGGCATTTCAGGGACTTGCCATAGTGTGAAATGTTTATTTTTTCTCAAGTCCAAAAGGATTACTGGG